GTAGACAAAAACAGAATGACTAGTGTCATGATCTCAAAAGATTGTGTGCATTATCAGGAATTACAGAAAAATACATAGGTCTTTCAAAAATATAATAATTTCGTCAAAGGGATAACATAGACGTAAGCAAAAAGAATGGTAAAGAAAAAATTTGAATAGTATTTCTTTCTGAGCTTTAAATTCTAAATATCTGGTGAAAAGGTAACATTACCCGACATAATAAAAATCTAATTAAATATAGATTTTACTAGCAACATAACTTTTTTTAGTTTTGATCTTAGTCAAGAAACTATTTCTTCCTTTACCTCTCCTCTCACAGGTCTTTAATTTTGAGTTTTTTTTTTAAACTGGCTACATACCATTGGGAGCAATGCTGTGGTGGACTAGTATCCCATCCAGGGAGGAGTGGAGGGGAGTTGGGCTGAGAATAGTTCTTGGCAATTCGTGATACTCAAACCAAGATAAGCTCTTGTTGTGTGGGCTTCAATGGCTTGTTTCAACCCTTTAAGCACCAGTATCCACATACAAATTCTCCACACTGATCTTAATGTATTCCTTAACCTTTTAAGCCCTAAGAGTGATCAGCATCAAATTTCTCCTTGTAGTATCACTTCTTTATAAAACACAGTGGTCATGAGAATTGAGGACCTGATCACACAAGATGAATCTAACTGATACTTCAACAAATTCTCCCCACTACTTCTATTGAAAACAAATGGGGACAACAAATGAGAATTTGAATTTTGATGTTACGGCAGTTAAAGGGTTACATGTAATAATAATTACAGTTAAGAGAATTTGATTAATGATCAAAGCATTTTCCCTAAGGAATTTTAGTGATCATTTTATTAATTAATTTTCATATCATTAAATTGGCAGTTTTCTTACATGCAGTCCACACCTCTTAGTGTGGTACAGTTGTACTGTGCTGTTTACATACATGTAAATGTAGTCCACACCTCTTAGTATGTACAGGTGTACTGTGCTGTTTACATACATGTAGTCCACACCTCTTAGTGTGGTACAGGTGTATTGTGCTGTTTACATACATGTAGTCCACACCTCTTAGTGTGGTACAGGTGTACTGTGCTGTTTACATACATGTAGTTCACACCTCTTAGTGTAGTACAGGTGTACTGTGCTGTTTGCCTACATGTAGTCCACACCTCTTAGTGTGGTACAGGTGTACTGCGCTGTTTGCATACATGTAGTCCACACCTCTTAGTGTGGTACAGGTGTACTGTGCTGTTTACATACATGTAGTTCACACCTCTTAGTGTAGTACAGGTGTACTGTGCTGTTTGCCTACATGTAGTCCACACCTCTTAGTGTGGTACAGGTGTACTGCGCTGTTTGCATACATGTAGTCCACACCTCTTAGTGTGGTACAGGTGTACTGTGCTGTTTGCATACATGTAGTCCACACCTCTTAGTGTGGTACAGGTGTACTGTGCTGTTTACATACATGTAGTCCACACCTCTTAGTGTGGTACAGGTGTACTGTGCTGTTTACATACATGTAGTCCACACCTCTTAGTGTGGTACAGGTGTACTGTGCTGTTTACATACATGTAGTCTACACCTCTTAGTGTGGTGCAGGTGTACTGTGCTGTTTGCCTACATGTAGTCCACACCTCTTAGTGTGGTACAGGTGTACTGTGCTGTTTACATACATGTAGTCCACACCTCTTACTGTGGTACAGGTGTACTGTGCTGTTTGCCTACATGTAGTCCACACCTCTTAGTGTAGTACAGGTGTACTGTGCTGTTTACATACATGTAGTTCACACCTCTTAGTGTGGTACAGGCGTACTGTGCTGTTTACATACATGTAGTTCACACCTCTTAGTGTAGTACAGGTGTACTGTGCTGTTTGCATACATGTAGTCCACACCTCTTAGTGTGGTACAGGTGTACTGTGCTGTTTACATACATGTAGTCCACACCTCTTAGTGTGGTACAGGTGTACTGTGCTGTTTACATACATGTAGTCCACATCTCTTAGTGTGGTACAGGTGTACTGTGCTGTTTACATACATGTAGTCCACACCTCTTAGTGTGGTACAGGTGTACTGTGCTGTTTGCCTACATGTAGTCCACACCTCTTAGTGTGGTACAGGTGTACTGTGCTGTTTACATACATGTAGTCCACATCTCTTAGTGTGGTACAGGCGTACTGTGCTGTTAACATACATGTAGTCCACACCTCTTAGTGTGGTACAGGTGTACTGTGCTGTTTACATACATGTAGTCCACACCTCTTAGTGTGGTACAGGTGTACTGTGCTGTTTACATACATGCAGTCCACACCTCTTAGTGTAGTACAGGTGTACTGTGCTGTTTACATACATGTAGTTCACACCTCTTAGTGTGGTACAGGTGTACTGTGCTGTTTACATACATGTAGTCCACATCTCTTAGTGTGGTACAGGCGTACTGTGCTGTTTACATACATGTAGTCCACACCTCTTAGTGTGGTACAGGTGTACTGTGCTGTTTACATACATGTAGTCCACACCTCTTAGTGTGGTACAGGTGTACTGTGCTGTTTACATACATGCAGTCCACACCTCTTAGTGTAGTACAGGTGTACTGTGCTGTTTACATACATGTAGTTCACACCTCTCAGTGTGGTACAGGCGTACTGTGCTGTTTACATACATGTAGTCCTCACCTCTTAGTGTGGTACAGGCGTACTGTGCTGTTTGCATACATGCAGTCCACACCTCTTAGTGTAGTACAGGTGTACTGTGCTGTTTACATACATGTAGTTCACACCTCTTAGTGTGGTACAGGCGTACTGTGCTGTTTACATACATGTAGTCCACACCTCTTAGTGTGGTACAGGCGTACTGTGCTGTTGAGACACTCTTGACCTTTCAGCCTACAAGTTGTCTTTGTCCCCGCCCCCTTTCAAACACATGAATAAATCATACTGGGCCAGTCCATGTGAAGTGTTACAGTACATAATTAATAATACAGTCTATCATTTAAGATGAAAGGGGAAGGGGAGGGGAGGCTTAAAAGAGAGCGGGGGCTTAATAACTTTCTTCCCTTGAAAGGGGGGGACTTATTTGGTAGGGGGTGGGGGGTTTATAGAGGATTTAATTATGGTATAGATATATACATATACATGAGACATAACAGGTAGCCCAAACTCAAAAAATGTCCTGCATGTTTTTCCAGTCAGTTTTTTCAAGTCCACTCGCCGACACAAAAGCAGTGGAAGACAATGCTCAATTAAAGTTTGCAAGAACTTACTCTTAAAAAGGCTTTTTAATAACTTGAGATCAGGCTCTATTTTCATTTCTCTTTGTAAATAACATTCTATGTAAGACTATGTAAGAGAGAATGTATGAGAACTGCCAAAATTGAGCCTGATCTCAGGTTAGCTTTTTAATAAACCCTTTAATAAATTTATGCCACTCTTCTTTTAGGAATTGTCATCCTTTCCTAGCACAGCCTCTACATCACAGGAAGGCCATGAAAGCAATTCAGAATCCACTTCTTCCAGGAAATTGAAAGTTACTCTGTTAAGCAGTGAATGGAGGTCAACAAAAGGAGGCTTATCAACCATCAACCGAGAGCTGGCCATTCAGTTGGCAAAACACCCCAGCGTGGAAGTCAGTGTTTATCTCCCTCATTGCAGCAAAGAGGATAAACAAGTTGCTGCAAGTCACAATGTACAGCTTATTAAAGCAGAAGAAATGCAAGGTTATGACCCCGTTGACTGGTTGTCCTTTCTTCCTGAAAACCATTCTGTGGATTGTGTGATAGGACATGGGGCTGTTCTTGGTCGGCAAGTGCAGGGTATAAAACGTCAGTGTAAGTGCAAGTGGATTCAGGTTGTTCATACAGCTCCTGAAGAGCTTGGTATGTACAAGTCCTACGCAGATACCGTTTCAAAAGGTGAGAAAAAGCACGAGGCTGAGGTAAAACTCTGTGAAAAAGCTGATCAAGTTGTAGCTATTGGACCCAAGCTGGCTGAAGCTTTCTCAGGTTATCTCCGTGCCTGTGGAAAGGATCAAGATGTTCTTAATCTTACCCCAGGCATCTTCTCTGAATTTTCTGAGGTAAATCAAGCCACTGAAGAAAGAAAAACATTCGGTGTTTTAGTGTTTGGACGTGGTGACAATGAAGACTTTCAGCTAAAAGGATATGACATCGCTGCTCGCGCTATTGCCGAGTTGAAAGACGAGCCACAGCCCTATAAGCTGTTGTTTGTCGGAGCTCCAAGTGGTGAAGAGGAGAAAGTAAAAGATTTGTTACTCCAGCAAGGCATTGATCGCAGTCAACTAACTGTGCGTTGTTTCAATGAAAGTAGAGAGCAGTTAGCCCGTTTGTTTTGTGAAGTAGATCTTGCTATAATGCCATCACGAACGGAGGGATTTGGTCTTGCTGCGCTTGAGGCTTTATCCGCTGGTCTGCCCGTGTTGGTCAGTGGGAACTCCGGTCTTGCGGAAGCTTTAAAGAAAATTCCTCATGGTGCAAGCTGTGTGGTAACGTCAGACGATCCAAAAGACTGGGCTAGTGCAATAAGAGCCGTCCGTCACAAAGACAGGGACATGCGACTGGGGGAGTTTGATTTTGTGCGTGGTGCATATGCAAAAAAGTACAGCTGGAAGGAACAGTGTGATAAACTTGTTGAAAGGATGAAAGTGATCTCTTCAGAAGGTCAGTTAAAATAAGTACTGTTGTAGTGCGTCTTCTGTTGCATATATATTAGACTTAAAATGAAATGTACGCTAGCCCGCAAATAAAGCCAGATCTTCCATCACTCCCTGCCACCGGCAATGTTTGCGGAAGAGAATGCTGTCTGAGAGGCGGCTGTATTCGCAGGCTAAATGTACATGTATACATAATACTTATGATTTAAATTGCATTTACAAAGTAAAAACATGCCGTACGCTCATTAAACTTGAAAGCCTTCTTAATACATGCTCATTTAGAAGCAGACCTTATCACAAACAACTGCACCTACGTTTTGGCAGAAAAAGTTGTGTTATTAGAACGATAACTAAACGAGAATATTTCGATAGAGTTCGGCTGGAAGTAAAACGCTGTCTGAAACATTGATCGCAGGTTAAGGTGGCTCGACTGGATTTTTTTGGGGGAATACCTCCCACGTTTGAGCATTAACTACGTCGGCATGAGTAAACATATGGGAAAAAGGTTACCACGACTGTATTATATAAAGATGAAAATTTCTTATGATCTGGGTTTTATTGCAATCGGAGTCACCATGGCAACGTAATGACGCCATTACGCTTTTTATTTATCTCTGTGTTTCTCTGTACCAGGATTTTTTTGAAGAAATCGCTTAACGGAGTATGTACCTGCCATAATTGCCTCCATTATGGCAAAGTTTCAACAAATTCTATGAGAGCGTTTTCGAAATATTTTGACACGCAGTTTGAACAATCATAAAAACGGTGAAATAGCATGCTATCCATACAATTCGCTAATATTTTAAGAAACTGATAATGTTTGGAAACGCAGCTTCATCCCATAGTGTTTTGATTCCATTGAAAACTGCATACAAAAAAAGAGGGGAATTGCTCTGAGCGATCGCGAGTAAGAAGAATTTTATTGACTTGCATTCAGCTGCTTTTGTTATAGTTTTTGGACGTAATTTGGTCCATGCCTACAAATTTCGCATTTTTCAAAAAACCGCTCGATAAATTTCTTTATAAATTCGACAATCTAGAGACCAATTGTCAATAAATATTCCCTGCAAGTTTCAAGAACATTGAAAACAGGGAAGGCTTTTAAATAGGGCCTCAAATATAACCACTTTTTCCCCCAGATTTTGTGTTTACAAGTGAGCGTCCTCATTATTCACTGGCATTGTTTTCAAGTTTCATATGCACGTGCACAACTAGCAAAAGATATAAATTTGCATCAAAAAGAACTCTCGATTACTTTCCAAAGAAATACACGGAATATGCTAATAATTGGCTTGTGTCACCGACAGCAGTGAGAGCCGAAACGATGGACGTCACTGCTCATCGTGTAGGATGCAATACTTAATTATGTTACTCGAGTTATAACATCACAGGAACTCTTACAAAGAATTGCTCTGATGTTATTATGTATCACTAATCTCTTTACCCGGTAATTAGCATATTCCGGAGATATAACCGAGGGTCCTTTTTGATGCAAATTCTATCTTTTTGCTAAATGTGCACGTGTATATGAAACTTGAAAACAATGCCAGTGAATAATGAGGACGCTCACTTGTAAACACAAAATCTGGGGGAAAAATTGGTTATATTTGAGGCCCTATTTAAAAGCCTTCCCTGTTTTCAATGTTCTTGAAACTTGCAGGGAATATTTATTGACAATTGGTCTCCAGATTGTCGAATTTATAAAAAAATTTATCGAGCGGTTTTTTGAAAAATGCGAAATTTGTAGGCATGGACCAAATTACGTCCAAAAACTATAACAAAAGCAGCTGAATGCAAGTCAATAAAATTCTTCTTACTCGCGATCGCTCAGAGCAATTCCCCTCTTTTTTTGTATGCAGTTTTCAATGGAATCAAACCACTATGGGATGAAGCTGCGTTTCCAAACATTATCAGTTTCTTAAAATATTAGCGAATTGTATGGATAGCATGCTATTTCACTGTTTTTATGATTGTTCAAACTGCGTGTCAAAATATTTCGAAAACGCTCTCATAGAATTTGTTGAAACTTTGCCATAATGGAGGCAATTATGGCAGGTACATACTCCGTTAAGCGATTTCTTCAAAAAAATCCTGGTACAGAGAAACACAGAGATAAATAAAAAGCGTAATGGCGTCATTACGTTGCCATGGTGACTCCGATTGCAATAAAACCCAGATCATAAGAAATTTTCATCTTTATATAATACAGTTGTGGTAACCTTTTTCCCATATGTTTACTCATGCCGACGTAGTTAAAGCTCCAACGTGGGAGGTATTCACCCAAAAAAATCCAGTCGAGCCACCTTAAGGTGCACTGTACATGTGCATTCTCCAGGTGAAAACAAAAACAGGTAAGGTGGCAAATCTCTGACTGGCAAAAATAATTTGATCAACACGAAACTGATTTCATTTCAGACTCATCAAAAAGACTTCAATCTTTGGACAAAGGTAAAAGGCCATTATCCCCAAGTGATACCCCAGCTTCAAAACAACCGAGACTGTGGAGATATGCAGGTAAACCATAGGTTATATTGTGTTGCTGTAATATCTCATTCATTAGAGCATTCAGTCTATACATGTAGTGTAGTGCTTTCTTGATTTATATTATTTCGTTTGGGTATGAGAGGGCTTGTTCAAGTGTCATACATAAAATCGGGCTTCGTTATTCAGTTTGTGGGGCTCTTTTATTACTATAATTCTTTGCTATTTACGGCAGCATAGCTGAGCAGTGTACCATGGAAGCTTTTATTGCCTGCAGAAAGTTTCTAAACGAAAGTTGCTCGAGGGGCCTTAGCTAACTGTAAACCCGCCAAGAGCTACAACTAAAGAAAAATCAAACAAAACAAACGGACAAACAAAACTAAGCGGTCTACTTTTACAGGGCGTCAGACCGACTGGCTGATAAATTTGACCAGACTTTTCGTTCTCCCGAAATCATTCAATATTTTCGCCCTGTTCACACAGAACTGACGAACCAGGTTGAATTTTAACTTTTGTTAGGGGTTTTACCATCTGCTCATGCGCAGAGAACTCCTATAGCAAACCCAAACCCGTTACACTGTCACCCAACTGAGTAACCACGCATCCATGCAACAGCGCCTTTACCATAAAAAAAACTTAGACGGAAATGGTGTTCACACAGCGTAGGTCAAATTTTCGACAGTTCCGGCTAAAAATTTGACCTCGACTTTGACGTGGAAGTTTTTGAACGGCTAGCCGTTTAAATTTTCGTACGGTTAAGGTGCTGATGTGTGGTACTGTTTGTCTCAGGACAATATCCTGGACGTTCTTCGTCGTAAGCTTTAATAAACTGCAGTAAGCATCTACAATAAGCTGAATTGTCCAGCCGGCCTTCGAAGGCTTATAAACTTTGTTTATGTTCAATTCAAGAGTTCACGTCAACGGATCGTTTGACTACTTTTTTTTTCTTTAGGTTGCAGTGGGGATGAGCAGGATTTATCTGTAAAAGCCACTGCGGTTTGTTCAGTTTACGAGAAACCTATACTTGTCAATAAACCTCTTCATAAAGGTACGCTTGAATCTTAGAAACATCAGCAATATACTCGAGAGAACAAAACTTTTTTAAAGGTATGCTTTTATGAACAATTGTTCCAACGTATTTTTCGTTCACTCGGACTCGGATCGTGCTCAACCTGCTTATTGTGACGTACCGTAATTTGTGCAATCAACTCCTGGAAATGTTGTTTTATTTTATGCTTCCTTCTTCTTCCAATCTCTCCAGTGTCTTATCATGTTTATCGTTATCTAGGTAACATAACATGTAATATGATCTCTTGTCTTGATTTACCAATGAAGTGCCAAATCCATTTGAAGTACAGTGAATGTCAGGAAAACATTAACAAATTGTTCGATTTTTTGCTCCCGACAGATACAGAAAACTTAGGTGTTCTGAAAATGCTCAGAGCTGAATATGAGAGACGGGCAAAGTTGAAGCCACTTTCTTGGTTAAACACTATGCAATTACCGCTTAAAAACGTCTACACGAGACTGAAAATTATCTCAAGAAGAAAAGCAGACTTCCAGGTTGAAAATGAAGAGTTGGGCATGTACCACATCTTCCAGGCCCTTGGCGAAAGCGAGGATGTCAAAATGACATTAGCAGAGGGAAGTCCAGGAACCGGTAAAACTACGTTTTGCCTCAAACTTGCTTATGACTGGGCACGTGGAGAAATGCCAACTAATTGTTCCTTTCCTAAATTCGAATTTGTACTGCTCCTTAAATGTCGAGACATAAACGGAGATCTAATGGAAGCTATCAAAGAACAGCTTTTGCCTGAAGACATCAAGGAGGAGACCTGGACAAAGCTGTCTGACTTCATCACGGATATTGATAACCAGGAGAGAATTTTAATTATTTTGGATGGCCTGGATGAGCTTCCTGAAAAGTCACGACCATGTGTTCATAAACTTCTGAAGAGAAAAATTTTACCATTTTGTTATGTCCTGGCTACATCCCGGCAGGAAACAGGAATCGAAGTTCGTAAAAACTGCGAATTTGATCTTCTCCTGGAGATCAAAGGATTTACAGATCAAGATTCTTTTCAGTACATCAGGAAGCATTTTCAAAACATCGGTCCGGAGCATACTTCAAAAGGAGAAAGTCTGATAGTGGAAATCAGAGAAAACGATTTATTGAATGCACTCCGAAATAACCCGCTCAATTTAATCCTTCTCTGTGTTGTTTATGAAGACTACAAAGGAAAACTACCAACTGCCCGAACTGAACTTTATCAAGTAGTTGTCCAGTGTCTTTTGAGACGTTATTGTGCGAAACACAGCCTTAAAGCCCCAGGAGAAAACAGCGTCTTAGAGAAGCAATTTGAAGAGACCATTCTTGCCCTTGGAGAGCTAGCTTGGCTTTGTCTACTTAGTGAACGTCACGGGTTTCGTGAAAGTGAATTAGCAGCAGTTGAAATCAGATACAAAGGATTGCTAGCTCGTGACATAGGCCTTCTTTACAAGGAAGAAAGTCTGAAAAGGTTAAATCCGCAACATGAGTACTATTTCCTTCACAAGACCTTCCAAGAGTACTTGGCTGCCGCATTTGTTGCTCACAAGTTGCGAGGAAACGAGTTAAGGTTGTTTGAGCGTCTAAGTTTTCATGAATTAGTGAAAAAGTATCGAGAAGTGTTTCTTTTTGTTTCTGGTGTACTTGGGAGAGATGCAAGCATACTATTCACTCAGATTGGCGAGGAGTTAAAAAACTGGGGAGAATGGGGCTGGGTCACTTGCGAACAGTCTGGAGTAGTGACGATGGATGACCCAGAAGGGGAAGAGACCTGGGATGACTGGGACATCGACGACGAGGACCTAGGCTGGGAAGCAGCAACTTTCTTTACAAAAAGCTTCAGTGAAAGTAGACACGCTGAAAAAATGGCAGGAACTCTTTGTTCCTACATACCCTTTCCTCCCCATGTTATGATTGAGCTTAGCGATGACAAGATTGGCAATATGTTTCACGTTTTAGATGCCTGCAAAACCTTTTCAAACTTACAGAAGCCAGTTTGGCTTACGGTTCATGATTCACATACTCCACGTATAAGCAATCAGACTGTTGCAGAGTACATACAATCCTGCTTGCAGCTTCAGACTCTTAGCATTGTTATCTCTGCAATGACTTCAGGCCTAGCCAACGCCCTTTATAACGGTTTATCTGGAAACATGACATTATCAGAGTTTACTCTAGGATTGTGTGGTATTATCCCTTATGATGCAGCTGTCGTCATCGGTGAGTTGTTAGCTACACAAAAATCGTTGAAGAACGTAACATTTACACTTGTCTTGGTGCAAGGTGAGGCTTGGGCCAGTGCTATTGAAACTGGATTGTCTGCTGACACTCTTCTGTCGTCTGTGGCCCTCCACTTTCGTGGGTCAATGAGTGATACCGCGGTACATGGTTTAGGAAAGCTTTCATCAAATAAAGCTTTGACCAAATTTTCCCTTAATATTGATGGAGACATGCAAGATTCGGTAGCCGCTGTTATCAGTGACGGAATTGCACAGCAAACCGCATTGAAGACATTTAGTCTTAAGATTGATGGCAAACTTAGTAGTTTTGGTGCTCATAACCTGAAAAGAGGCCTTCTGGAAAATCGCTCTTTGAATAATTTAAAAGTGACTGTCCTTGGAAAGGTTCCGAGCAACTGGCAGTCGTTTGCAGAAAATATTCGCTTGGCCAAGAACGTATCAGTTACTTTAAGTGTATACCCAGATTCTTGCAGCAGAATAACGCATAATCAATTGGCTTATTTTTGTCCTGGTCCAGCTGTGGTCGATAAAGGATTACAGACAAAACGGCATTTAACTGTAATCCTCTGGGGTGAGCTGAGTGCTGACGGGGCAGGAGCTTTATGTGAGGTCTTGGTACGTGCTCCCCTGACAAGCGTGAATTTGAGAGTGCACGGAAAATTAAATAATAGTGTGGCTAATTGCATTGCAAGATATTTCAGCCGACGCAAGACTGTTTTCTCCCTTACGATCGATGTTTGGGGGAAATTGGCCCCAGAAACAGTTACTTTTCTTCAGGGACTATCAGGTAACAACGCAGTTGTCGAGGTGAAAGTGCGTGACGTCTGTGTCGTTCCTGACGAATTGTGCAAGTCCCTTCATGTCTCTATTGACAATATTGCATCTCTTACACCAGCCCTGTATAGAATCAAGGACATCAGAGAGGAAAAGGTTACTCTAAAAATCATTAACGACGATGTTACATGTAAAGAGTGGACACACCTTCTAGGTAATGCTTTGGCAGAAAACACAACAATAACTGCGCTCGATCTTACCATCAACAACTACGTAATAAACGTGTCCTCAGACTTAGGGAAAGAACTTGGAGAGAGTTTGTTGAAAAGCTCTTCAGTGAAAATTTTAAATCTCGTAATCAACAACCTCAATAACATCGCAGAAGGCTGGGAATGCAGTCTGCTCAACAGCTTGGCCAAACTGGCTTCATTAACTACGCTCACTCTTGCAATTGACAATCGTGGTAACATGAAGACAATTGGAGAAAAGAGTTCGGTTGACAGTTTGATGGCAATGAAGTCATTGTCTACACTTTCCGTTGTAATCAGTGCCAATGGCAGTGATGTGGATGAATTCTGGAGCTACTTTTTTCGAACCTGTTTAGAGAAAAACACTTCACTGGCGCTACTCTGCGTAACAGTTAACAACTACTACGACAACGAGAAAGAGTTAGTTAACGGCTCTCCTTGTTTTTATCTAAATCCTGAAGATGGGTACCGCTATAATCCTGAAGACTGGTACGAAGGCCTAGCTAATGGTTTGGCGATAACCACATCATTAAATGAACTAACTCTGACAATTAACCACGTAAACCTTACTAATGATTCTTGGGTACAACGTGTCTGTGAAGGATTGGCAGAAAATAAATCAGTAACCACTCTCACTGTGACAGTTAATGGTGTTTCCCGATTCCCTTACTGGGTCCATAGCCTTATTGTGGGTTTGGCGAAAAACACGTCGGTCACTACACTCGGCCTCAACCTGAATGATTACTCTGAAGGCGATGAAGGGGATGAAGACTCCTTCTTGGAAGGTGAAATGGATTCCCCTAAAAACACAACATTAACTACAGTCAAACTAACCATCAACATGTACGAAGAAATCAGTCAAGACTGGTTACCCAAACTCTGTGACCTTTTCGAGAATAGTTCCTCGTTGACTGCGTTAAGATTGGAAGTAAACAACCATTGCGCGTCACATAAGAGTCGCCTATATGACTTCAGCAGACTTCGGTTGAAATGCAAGTCTTTATCCTTATTTGACCTCACTGTAACCTTCTATGGAGAGTAACATATTGTCCAAGATTGTCATACAAGCTAAGTTATGGTTAATTTTTTGTTTCTTTTCATTGTAGGCCACATTGCAAACGCCATTTTTGTAATTTTGTTGCGGAGACGCCTAATTCCCTTTCTTCAGCTTTCGTAAACGGTCGTCGCTATTTTTAACAGTTGACTGGCGCTACCATTGGTAGCCAAGCCTTTAGTCATGGTTGATGTAATATATTTCCTGGATTAGTGTAGATTACAATAAGGCAGATTATACGTTTTTGACTGAATACTCTTAGAAAAAGCGACGTTGAAGCCCAAGTTGAATTTACGTTAAAAGTTGTGGAAAGGGCAATGGTCACCAGCTTTTGATGTGTCAGCTACGAAAGACAGGTTGCCATTTTATGTAGGTACTTAATTTTTTCGGAATTTTGGCGGGTCGGTGTGGTAGTGTATTTGAAAGGGAAAGAGATTAGGATGCGAAAGGTCCAGGTTCGTCTGTGGGTTGCGATCTTCTTCCTCTTTAATAAAAACGCTCTCAGTAACAGGTCAAAAATTTTCTAAGTGTCTTAAAAGTGGCAGCGACCGTTTACGAAAGGGAAATTTGCTGCGGAGACCAATTGCTAAATCCCTTGTTTGTACGAAACGGCGGGAAACGCTTTTTCCTAGAAACGTTTCCTTGTTTAAAGATTCCCTCGTTAAATCAACACAACAGGCAGAAAGAAGTGAAAGATTACAGGAACTGGAAGAAAGAGAAAACGCCGTATTAATTAAGGAGATGGCAGCACAGAAGACTAACACTAAGCGAGCATTAGATCTGGCGACGGAAAAAGGGTCATCAGCGTCGCTCACAGTGCTTTCTATTCGATGATTTGGGTTTAAACCTAAGTAAAAGGGAGTTCCGCGTCACTGTTAGTGTACGCTATAACTGGCCAATTGGTGATATCCCCTTCACATGTGTTATCGGGAAAGTTTTCACCGTAGACCGCTCTGTAATTTGCAAATGAGGAGGTTTTTTTACTCATCGTCACAACGTGCTAAGAGATCTGGAAGCCGAACTTGTGAGAAAGGTATGGAGTAATGTTGAAACTTAGCCAGTCCTCCAAGACATCTCTGGAGAACAGCTAAGTAGAGGATCTAATAAGGCACATGAGATGCGAGATTGGATGTCCATGCACATGTGTTCGCCGTATTGTCTTCCTGGTTTGACGCCAGCACTTACTTTCAAATTGAAACTTCTTATTGGTACAGTAATAAGTTTGCCCATTTTTGTAATTGTAAGCCTCCCACGAAGGCTTTCCCTTTTCTCGTCACACAATCCTCGCCCAATGCGTGACAAAACCCTAAGAGCGTCTGCGTGGGAGGCCTTTCAGTAGTAAAAGTTATGTGTTTTTAATGAAGTATTTTCGTTGCTTGGTTGATTAAACTTTTTTCCGGATACCTTGCTAACCAGAAATTGTTGGTTGTTACACACGTTGTAACTAATGATCATGTTACTTCAGTAGTTTAAGTTTGATAAATATTGTAACGGATAATTGTGAAATGTACGCCATCTGGTCCAGTGTGACCAAGGTTATTACAACATGAGTTACTTGTAGTTTTCGAGTTTGATAAATATGGTAACAGATGATTGTGACTTGTACACCAACTGGTCCAGTGAGACCAAAGTTGATACAAAATATACTTAACGTCAGATCCCAAGGGAAACAGTTAGCTTTGTTTTTCCGAAAGTCCTGATGTTTCCCTCGACTTCGTCTCGGGAAACATCAGGACTCGAGAGAAAACAAAACTAACTGGTTTCCCTAGGGACCTAACAGTAAGTGTTTTGTTATATTTCTAGACTTTCACTTCAACAGCAACAAAAGAATAACCGGAGCGAACCAAAACAGTGGACTCGGTACTTATAACAACACAAATTTAATTCTCAAAACCACCGAGTGAATGATTTACAAGGTACCTTCCTTATATTATCTGCATTATTTTCCTCCACTAGCTGCTGTTTTTCTTCCGGGAACTTCTGGGATAACTTTAAAAATCGGTGCTTTTTAGCTTGAGGCTTCGTGTTTGTGTTGATTGTCGTGTTTATTCACGAAAAAGAAAAATGGCAGGACCTGTCAGTGTTTTTCCCGTTTTCTGGCACGTTACTTTCCACCATGCTTTGATCACTTGCTACAATGTAGCCCGAGCGGGGTACATTGCTTAATGTATCACTATGGGGAATCAACCAATGGCAGTCCCTGTTTAGTTGAGTGAAAGTCTAGTCATATAACAACATGAGTTGCCAGTAGTTTTAGAGTTTGATAAATATTGTAACTGATGATTGTGACTTGTACGTCATCTGGTGCAGTGTGAAAAAGGTTATTGTTATATCCCTAGACTTTCAGTCGACTGAACAGGGACTGCCATTGGTTGATTCTTGGTCACATGGCCTTGGCTAAAATCAAATGTACCCCGATCGTGATACATTTTAGCAATAGTATCCCGCCTATATACATTACAGCAAGTGATCAAAGCATGGTGGAAAGTGGCGTGACAGAAGGCGGGAAAAACACTGCCAGTTTTCTTTTTCGTGAATGAACACGACAACACAAACATGAAGCCTCAAGCTAAGAAGCAACGATTTTCAAAGTTATTCCAGAAGAGAAACAAGAGCTAGTGGAGGAAGAAGATGCAGATAAAATAAGGAAAGTACTTTGTAAATGATTCATTCACTGGTTTTGAGAATTAAATTTGTGTTCTTATAAGAACTAAGTCGACTGTTTTGATTCGCTCTGGTTATTCTTATGGTTATTCTGGTTATTCTGGTTATTCTGGTTATTCTTTTGTTGCTGTTGAAGTGAAAGTCTAGAAATAAAACAAAACACTTAATGTCAGGTCTCTCGGAAAACCAGTTGGTTTTGTTTTCCCTTGAGTCCTGATGTTTCCCTCGACTTCGTCTCGGGAAAACAAAACTGTTTCCCTCAGAATCTGACATTAATACAACATGAGTTAAGCATACTAGTAGTTTTAGAGTTTGATAAATATTGTAACTGATGATTGTGACTTGAACGCCATCTGGTCCAGTGAGGCCAAGGTTAATGCAACACGAGTTGCCAGTAGTTTTAGAGTTTTATAAATATTGTAACTGATGATTGTGACTTGTACGCCATCTGGTCCAGTGAGGCCAAGGTTAATGCAACACGAGTTGCCAGTAGTTTTAGAGTTTTTTAAATATTGTAACTGATGATTGTGACTTGTACGCCATCTGGTCCAGTGAGGCCAAGGTTAATACAACATGAGTTGCCAGTAGTTTTAGAGTTTTATAAATATTGTAACTGATGATTTTGACTTGTACGTCATCTGGTCTAGTGTGACCAAGGTTATTGCAACATTAGTTGCTAGTTGTTTGATGTCAGAGTTTGATGAAATTATTGTCGTAATTGATAAATATTACGAACCTTACGCAACGAGGATGTTGACGTAGCGAACGTCAAAAATGACGACCGGAAGTTGATACTTTCTCACTTTCAGTGCTCCGACTCGACAAATTTGTTCAGTGGAAGCAAACAAAGGCATTTAGATTCGATGTGTGCAACAGAAGCGTTCCATCAAGCAAGCAAGACATGGAACTTCCGGTTGCTATTCGTGACGTCCGGGACGTCGACGTTCTTGTTGCTTAAGTTCGCTATCACAGTGCCACTTCGACGAGGCCAAGTTTGATAGAAATGATTACTTCGCATGTTTGCCTTTAAAAAAAATTCTGCTTTACTATAGTGTCTATTATAATGACAAATTAATAGGGAAAATGTAATTTAGTTTCCAAGAACGTAAATTTTTATCATAATTTAGTGTATCTTAATATCGTCAAGTCGTGGGTGATTAGTGTGAATCGACTGCATCTCCTTTGTGGATGAAATGAACATTTGTTACAAGCAAGTAAAGGATAACAATGCTTACTATTTTTAGCTTTAAGTTTCTTATTGAGAATTGTATAGTTACATTTTTCAACTCAATTAAAGACAAATTGGCAAAATACAAATGCGGAGTAATTTCTTGTTTATTTAGAACGTTTTCACTCACGTGGCCAGCAGCTTTAGAAATTCATTGAACAAATGAAAGTTTGTGCATAAATGAAGAGTTCAACTACTCCCACAGGATTGGTTTGCGACACCAATATCGCCGCCGTTTCATTGTTTTGCACACCAATATGTCGGACATGACGTCATGAGAAACGCTCTCCAGGTTATATTGAAATTCTCGGCGCGACCTTGAAATATCCTGAGGTCAAGTTTCGTGTGAACAGTTAAATTCATGCGCCTCGACTACAAGCTAGCAAACGTTGCTGATGGAGGAGTCACCATCTCATTAGACTTAAACTCCTGAATTTCCTTGAAAATGTTGAGAAAGAATTGCGTAAAAGTCGTGTTAAGAACCCCGTGGTAAGTAACAATCGAGGGTAGTTTGGGAAAAGGTGGGGGACAGCTCACTTGTGCAATGCAAGACACGCTTTTTTCAAATATTCCACATCTTTCTCTTTATGAAACACATTTTTGTTGATCCTCTCCCTAATCTCGCACCCAGATCTCACTCTGTCTTACGCCGTGGGAGATCTGGTTACGAGATAACCTCTCCCCCTTGTCACTCACTCTCTCAATTATTTATTAATACTTTTTGATTTATCACAATGAGAACTGCATTGTTCTTGTGTTAAACCATTAGTGCTATCAAATGTTGTTCAAGGCGGGAGCTTATCTGCTTCCTTTCAAGATTACTACTGTTGCCCGAAGAATCCGGCGTTGATAGGCAAAATTATGTGGTCCTCAGAGTTACAGTCAGTGACCCTCCTCAAATTTGCACCTGTCCTCCCCACGCTCTCAGTATTGTACGTTACCAACAAAGATTACATTTGCATGGTTTATTAGATTTTGTGTCTAGATTGCACGGTTTCATTTGTGGCATCACAGGCGGCCCAGACGTAGTATGTGTCACTGAATGAATATATTAATATCCACATGGACAAATTAATGCGATGAGTCGTCGAAACTC